ACTGATACGCCACATATTTTGGTTCCTCCCGATGAGGATTTGAAGTACTGTATCCTCTATGAAGCCCACGGCACCCACTCAGTGGCTATCTTGGTCATTAGAAGACCGACATGCCACTACTGGTGGCCCAAGCTGTACAAATGGACAAGCACGTGTGAGACCTGTCAAAAGTTGAGACCCTCTCCGAATGCGGCCGCTGATCAGCTTACAGGTACTCTCCGGGAGTTGGCAGTCCATGAGTATGGACTTTTTTTTGGCTTGCTGAAGGACTCGGCGGGCAACACGAGTGTCGTGGTCTTCGTCGACCGTTTGAGCAAGATGACTCATCTTGCTGCGGTGTCGGTACAGCGACGCTGTTTGTGGATCGTGTATTTCGACGACAAAAACTCTCGATATCAATTATATCTGACAGAGACCCACGCTTCACTGGAGGAATTAATCGTCGATCTTCAAGTGCTGGGCACCAAGTTGAATATGTCAACCGCGGAACATCCGTAGAGCGATGGCCAAACTGAGCGCTTGAATCGCGTTGTTAGAGACGTGCATTGCAGTGTCTGCGCAGAGACGACGAGGCGGTCCTTGCGCGTCCCGCTTACACCGCCATCTCGTGGCTAAGGGCTTGGTTGGGGGAGGAATAGCCGAGCGGCTATCTGATGTCAGCCCTATCACTGTTTGTGTGGAAGTCGATGACTTTCTGCCTACCAGACTGAGTGTCTTACAACACGATCGCGATGCGATGGCTGAAAGCCAAGACATTTAGATGAAATATGCGGATGGAAGAGGTGAGCAACTTTGTGGTCGGAAACCTGCTTTTATTAAATATGGAAAACCTTTCTACTCATGCAATTCTTGTTGTCATCAAGACGAAGCACCGTCCATAGTTTATCGGACCTTTCAAGGTTATGGCCAAGCGGACCTCTTGTGATACGCAAAATCTTTCGAAACGGATGCGCACCCCCCGGTGTTTTATGCGGGCTTGCTTGGGGAATCCCGGGGTCTGGCGCAAGTTAACGCCGAAGCGTTGGCGCGGGAGGGTAGCGCCAAAAAGCACTCGGCCACCCAGAAGCTGAACCAGCATTGTTTTTGAGCGCACAGTGCAACAATTTTCGTTTCCAACGGCGCCAGGCGATCCACCGTCGCACGAAGTGATGTTTTGTCTGCTCGACGGCTAGGAGCCGCTCCGACAGAGCGCGATAATTTTCAACGTGATGCGGTCGGTGCCCAAAGTACTCCAAGATCGTTAGGTTTTTCTTACAGCGGTATGAGACCCCAGCATTATGCTCAGCGAAGTCTCGATCGCGTGGGACCTTGTCCTCAAGAGCTCGATGAGCATCGCGGGTCTCCGGACGGCGATGACCAAGTCGCCATCGTCCGCCGCCGATTCTTCTCGACGAGATTGGTGGTATCCACCATCAAGTAGAATGTCGTGTGGGTCGACGTCATCGCCAGGGTCAAACCAGTATATTGTGAAGTGACGGGATACTTAGACTCCAAGAACTCGTGGGATTTTGAGGTGCCACTTCGGCAAGACTGCCCAGACGCTTATGATACGAGAAATCATGATGTTTCGCGTCGTCGTACGCCCCGCGCTTCTCGGAAATGGCCAGAAAAGCCAAGGGGTCATGAGCTGAGCTCAAGCTATTCCCTGAGCTGATGTGGGTGCAGACCTCAATGTGTCAGAATTCGCGGGAACGTGATGATTAATCCATACGTCGCAGGGCAACTATACGAAAGAAGTCGGCGATGTGCCTTAAGTCTAGCGAACTTGAACCGAAGATGGCTTTCCACGCGCACGTCGACCTCCTTGAGGCTCCGCTGTGGCTTGGACATTTTCCAGTGCCGCTGCACCCATCGCTCAATGAGCTCTTCGTCATCTGCTGCAGTTTCGCCAGGAGCGAGCACCACAGAAATTGTCCGCATCGCGGGTTCAGGAGCGCCTCCTCTTTGATCGCGAAGTCAAATCCATCGAAATTTCTTGAGGTACCAAGAAGCGAGCTCAACGACGTTTTCGCTGGTCAAGCTCAGCTTGTGTAGTGGCTTGGGGCCCGGCTACGTCGACGACAAACGATCGAGTGATCGTGTCCCTCGCTTTCAGTAGCGGAAGTCGCCGAGCGGAAGCCGTATTTTCATACGAGGGTCTTGGATCGACCGTGGATACGAGCGCATGAGATCCGCCCCGCGAGCAGCATCCAGCTGCTGCTTCCGTGCCTTGTCGAGACGATTGGCAATTATACCACTATCCACGGAAGTCGAGAGGTCGGGAATTGGACACTGTGTCCGCAAGTTCGAGCAGGACTCACATCGCGCCGCTGGCGCGCCTCACACTCCTCTTTTTCCCATCCTGACAAAGAGTATCCGACTCGTTGTCGACTTCGCCCAGATTCTCAATGAGGGAAGCCGTCGCTCGTGGTGGGCGCGGTGCTCGGCTGCAGAGGGCTTGGGATGCGCTTCCCTTGAGGCCGCGGACGCGCCGCCCGAAGTTGCACCGCTTGCAGGAGACGAGGAAGGGCTCTGCCCGCGGGCGCTATCGGCACCAGTGAGGCTGGGTGTCTTTTGTGTCCTAGACACAGGGCTTATTGAGCAGAGAATGCGTGCAGAAGGTCCTGGGGACGTAGAGGTGACAATGTGAGTGTTCACAACGTGATGAGGGGTGTAACGGGGTTTCACGTACTCTGGTGTGTCACACAAGATGGTGTGACCATACAAAGAAGTGACGGTGTAATCCCACAATGGAGTGGCGTTCACCTTAACAAGAAGTCAGTACGTGGCTGGACTGCATGTAGTTATGCATAAAAATTAGATTTTATTTTTTAATTAGGAAAATATATAGATTTGAATATAAGCGATTTACCGCAAATGAAACCAAAAAAATACAGTTTACATTTGAACGGAAGAGATTATTTGCCTTGGGTTAAAGATGCGGGAACTCTTGGAGTAAGCGGCTTGTGATCCGCTACACTCGTACTGGTTCTAAGTCTAGAATAAAGGTACCGACCGTAGCGTAGCTTCCTATAAGCTAAAGAGATACGGCAGCCCCGCTGCACGAGTTATATATCATCGTGAGTTTTTCAGCAAAGTATTCCGGCTTAATCCGCCGTATGAACGTGCGCAGAGTTTATGAACCGAGGAGAAAAGATGCGAGATGTAGTTTCACCTCGTCTTCGGTTAGCGGCGTGATCGTACACCTTCAGGTGAAACGGGGTGTTGAGACCCGACTTGGTTTTTCACTGAAACATTAATATTCAAATAAAAGGTTTTCTTCACCAATTCTACCCTCGAGAGTATTGTTCGCGAAAACAGAGGCTCCTCGTATCACGCTAGATGGTGTAAGGAGACGATCTTACGGCGCGATGATGCTTTTAATAGCAGGCACAAAAGAGTGCAAGAAGTGAGGTAAAGCTTCGCGTGTTGTGAATACTCATTACGCGCTCACTTTTGCGAAATGTCTTACAAGGACGACAGAAATGTGAACTCCTCAGTAGTTTATATCGTGATGGGCGAGAAAGTAGAGGAGCACGAATATCACAATGGTCTATTCTTATCCGCCTAATTGGACATAAGCAATATTGTACATCTTACGGAAATATCATTACAGTCTTGTGAAGTTATGTATATTCAGAAGTAGTGAACTTCCAGCACCAACGGAGAAAAAGGAGTTCGTATAGGAGAGGTATGTAGAGCCCCCTCGTCAAGCAATAAAATTACTTTTATGGGAATATCGTATTATGTATACTTTTTTGGTCAACCAGTCAGGACAAATAAACCTGAATATTTTCATAATAGCGGAGCAACCTAGGTGAGCTATTACTTTAGAGGCTCTCGTTCTGCTCCTGGATGTAGCGTATTCTCTCAACTCCTGTGAGTTTGTAGAACTTCTTAAGTCGAAAGATTTTCGTGCGAGATCCGCGAAACCCAGTTCCACATCCTCAGTTCGTCAGTTTCCGCGGACTGTAAGCGTCAAAGCTATTTAGGTGTAAGATGCAAAGCAATCCTTTTGAACTATACGTCGCATATTCATTTGCTTTTCCCTGAATCAAGAAGCGAAGCTGAGAAAATAAATGATGATGTATAGTAATTAGTACTTGATATGGCAAGTGAGCGATCGTAGTTTAGTGGTATGTGGGGCACGTAGGCTGCTAGCCTTGCGGAACTTTAATAAGTGTAAGTGTTAGCACAGGGCATTTGAGTGGCTCTGGGATCTGCGTCCCAGAACCAGCAGGTGAATACAATGTCTGTGCGATTGTTAACGCTTCGATTCTTACCACGAGCAAGGTGTGTGACAAACCCGCTGTATTCTGGCTAACACCACACATAAATTGTGAGGTAAAAACAGTTCCACGAAAGAGTCGATGCATATGGGGCTGCGATTGAACAATCATGTGATGCCTTTACGTATAAAGGGTGTAGGTGTTTATTGTACCGCACCACACACCTCCACTGATTTCACGAAAGAGTTAAGAGAGGTTGTTCTCGAGTGTAATCTTGCTACACTGGTAATCATAATTTAAAATAGAGGTGGTGTTCACGACAGTAATTAGCGATCACCCAGCGTACCTTTCTGTCGGCAGAAAATTATTTTTTTGCCATTCCTGAAGCGATAAGTGTTTCAGAGTTTGACTTGTTCCTTACCAGTATTTAGCTACGCCTCGTTGCATGCACTAGAAAAGGACTGAATACCAATTACGCCTAGTTCTCCTTGCTGAAATCGACATGTCCGATGGCGGGTGTGCAAATAAGTTATTAATCGATTGAGTACTGAATTGTTTGCTTTAAAACTAGCCCTTCGTTGTCTTTCTGAACCAGTCACTTAGACTGTTGATTTCCCAAATTGTTGGTTTATCCTATTTTTGTACAAGTCTCTTTTTTTGTGAACGTGTATGTCGAAGGGACGTTAGTAGACACCGGTATGTCTTAGGTAGTTACCGCTAGATTTCTTAAGGGGGAAGTAAAAAACAAGCCTTCTGTATGCGTAATTGTCTACTGCAATGAATATTGGACAGATGAAGAACGAACCCGCCAACGGCTCGGCGCAGGCCATCCCGTCACTTAAACGCACGCTAAGTGGCGGCGCAGCCAGCAGCGTAGGACACGGACATGCTGGTGGTCTATCAAGCCATCTAAGTGCTGGTATGAATAATATGAGCTCCATTCCGTCCGTGCTGCATGCGACGCCCAACACGAATCCGCCACAAATGCTGCGCGCGGTGACATCCTCCGGTGCATACAATCGCTCGACAGTCAATCATAATTTTCGTGGGAGCAGTGGCAGCTTGTCTACTACTGGTGCTGGCGTGACCAATACCCATGTCAACGCCTCAACAGCCTCACGAAGTGTTTCGCAGTCGCCCACGATGCAAGACTGGAGAATGTATCTTACAATCGAAGAGCGTCAAGCCGTGCGCTCGAAAATTCGTGATGCATACACGAGCCGCTGCTCCAGCTACGAAGATCTTTTGCAAGTGGTGAGTCGCGAATTGCTCTCTGTATGGTTATTGTGAATCCAAAGGTGCTTGTTGTGGTTGTAATTGCAGGCTTGTGCCATTGAGGAAGAACTGCTGCATATTTCAGCGCCGTCGCGTTTGGATTACTTCAAAAGCGGCTTTGAATTTGAGAATCGCGTTAAATTGAAGAAAGATCAATTGCAGGGCCAATTGGCAGCGTTAGATGCCAAGCGGCGGTCCTCCGGCGGTGGCCAACAGCAACAGCAGCAAGAAACTTCTTGCAGTGGAAACAGCAGCAACAAAACAGGCGGTTCGTTGAAAAAACAGAGAAATTGAGTCGTGTTGGGTGTATGCACTTAGCGGCGTCAATGTCTTCAAAACAAGTCTTTGCAGCTTTGTATGTGGAGCAGGGAAGGAGATGATTAAGTTTTTGTGTATATTGAAGGTTCAAGAACGAAAAAAGCGATTAGGAACGTGCTTATTGCTGATACTCATGTAAATCAAATAGTTACGGCGGTATATCCGTTAAAAAATGATCGTGACGAAGTCACTGACGAAGTCACTTTTGGATGCAGCCGGAAAATTGAATTGTATGTGACTTGTCGTTTAATATTTACGTAGGAAGTAGTGCTTCAATACATGAATATGAAGCCGAAACATGTTCCGCTGCTGCAGCTCCGGAACGAAGGCATTAAAGTTTGCTGCCTCCAAATCCTTCAGATATAGCCACGAGCTAACAAGTTGTAGAAACACATTTCGTGACTTGCTCGGTATTTCGTTCTGCATTGAGCGGGCTTTATTGAGGTGTTCCATCGCGCGACAGGCGACGTCAAACACCACGGGTGCTGCCTTTTCGCCTAATTTAGAGTCCTCTACCGCTGCTACCAGATCCTCAACGGAAACACAATGCTGTAGGGACAAAAACCAATATTAATGCTTACCGTCTAAATTTTACCCGCTCATGTTGCAAGTACCCATTTGAGCGTCGAGTCGTACCTTTTTCATGATATCAGTGGGTAGATAAGACAGCTTTCGTGAGCTATGATATGGTGTTCCCCGTAGCAGTGTTACAAGACCTATTGCAACGCCAGCGTGTTCTGCCGCACTGTCTGCCATTTTATCGCGAACGCCTAGGCACTCTAACGTAAGGAACAGCAATGACGAAGCAGTCTGCTCAGCGTAAGTTTCCAGTTCCGCTAAATTCTGCACTTCATCGCGATTAAGATCTAAATCTCGCGCGTCCAGCAGCCTTTCAAACCACCGTCGCGTCAAATCGTGCTTCTGAATGGCCTGATCCAAGCCATGTAAAAGAATTGTCGACTCTTCCAGTCCTCTCTCTTCATCTGCAGATGAAAACTCATACAATTTAAAAATGCGCTCACGCCACCATTGCATGCGAATTTGGCCCGTGATAGGATTGTTGTGTGTTGAGTCCTTGATGGTCGCGATTTCGGCATTCAGTGCGCGCTGTCTTCGATACAGCGTAAATTTAAAGCAATGATCTTTAGCGTGTGAGTAAAAGTGAGCGAAATGGGGCAACATACGATGGCAAAATACGACGGGCGTATTTTTAATGGTAGCAGCAAGCCACACAGATATCCGTCATAGTCCAGTCTCCTGTCAGGATAAGAAAAAAATGTGAGGCTCGACTACGTAGACATCTCGGCCAGTCTTACCTAACAGTTTCACGCAAATCCATTTTTTTCATGGTGTGCTCGTTGCGTACCGCCGTGAGCGCCCAGCACGGAAGCCGCAATTTAGGACGTCGATACAAGTTGCTCAGCATCAATCGGATCCTGATTTATAACAAAAACTTGCGCGCTAAAAAAAGGTCATATTTGCTCTAATTTCTTTCAACATATTCTGTGAGTACGTCCATCAGACATCGATAACGAACAGCTTAAATTAAGGTAATTCTTTCAGTATGTCTGGTGTGAGCCTACTAGTGCTTTCACGTCATTAGCTTCCACCCTTCGAGAATAATTTAAAGTCAATATTTGGCTTGTAAGCACAATTAGTAACAGCTCAAATCGGTATTATGTAATAACTTAAAGCTGACACTACCACCATTTCATCTTGACGACGTTTGTTGGTCTTTAGTAAACAAAATGACGTACAACGCCAGGCGAACTCAATGTCTGATTGTGAGAGAATGAGCCTGGACGATGACTAAGTACACCAGCGAGAAAAGTTCTTTAGTTTTGATGCAGCTTCGTGCATTTAACATATATACCAGATAACCTATATCTTCCGCAGACAAAAATTACACCGTTATACTCACCAGGCTCATTTGGAGACTGTAACGGGGCTACACGTACCTTGGTTACAGGGTGTGTGTCACACGAGATGTGCATGGTGTGACCACACCCAAACAAGAAAACGCTACGGGGCTAGGTAGCCTTTGGTTATGCATGTATTTAGATGTTACTATACATATTCAACGGATTTTTACGAATTAGTGATCGGTCTTTTATTTATTAGTAGCCTCAAGAAATCGATCACTTTTGACAGGAGGTCTACAATTCGTAGAGGGCTCGAAGACATCAACGTCATCCAAGGCTTGGTCTAGTTCGTCTACATTGAAAGGATCATCCTCTCTTTCACTGTCGGCATTGCTCCACCTTTGCTGAAATTTCCACCCGCAAACATCATGGTTCCAGATGAACCACTGTGACGGGTTTTTGTGAAATTCTGCAGCTACAATGGAGTTCAAGACCACTGATGTGGTTGTTTCTCGCCACGCCGTATGTACCCTACTGCACACAGTGTCAACCGCGTGGGGTGTATTCAACGGCCGCTGAATGCTTCCATTGGTCGATTAAACACGATAGATTGTCATTGAAAACCTTGTAAATACCAATGTCGCCAGCTTGAAGGTAGAGTGTTAAGCCTCCCGGCACAACGCACATGTCAATATCTCGCTGGTGGCACTTAGCTTTAATCTTCTTGGATATATGCGCTCTCATCGA